AAACAGCTTAGAATAATGTCACGTATGGTCAAATCGACTCTTAATCATCTACTCTGAGAGAACTCGTCCTTATTTGAGGTATTTTTGAAAGGTTTTTGCCTAATTTACCAGCGCAAAGTAGTGAAGTTTTGCAGTTTTCTCGAATAATTGCTCATTTTCGGTCCTAAATTAGATTGTCTATGTATGAGCACAAGAGACTACCACTTTCATATTCGAATATGTTAATCTTTAGTACACCCACTACAACATATCTTCACCTTCCAGGCAAAGTATCACAAGCGCCATGCGACGTTTAAAAATTTCCGCCGCCATTTTATTTCTTTACTGAGAAATTGTTGGTTGAATCTGTTTGGAAATTTCACTACATTTTATCGGCAGCACAAAGAAAATTCAGTGAAATTTTCGGACAGCTTCGTTGAACAATTTCTCTGTAAAAAAATAAAATGGCGGCGGAAATTTTTAAACGTCGCATGGCGCTTGTGATACTTTGCCTGGAAGGTGACGATATTTGGATTACATTTTGCAAAAAGAAACCACTATTTCTGGCCCATTTTAGAAATAACATACATGCCACTGGTTTCCCTATGCAGGTATGTGCTTTCATGGGAGAGCCAGAAATAGTGGTTCCTTATTGCAAAATGTAATTCATTTAAAGGAGAAAGTGGGAGTCGCTTGTGCTCATACATAGACAATCTAATTCAGGACCGAAAATGAGCAATTATTCGGGAAAACTGTAAAACTTCACTACTTTGCGCTGGTAAATCAGGCAAAAACCTTTCAAAAATACCTCAAATAAGGACGAGTTCTCTCAGGGTAAATGATTAAGAGTAGATTTGACCATACATGACATTATTCCAAGCTGTTTCAATTTTCGACCAAAGTTAGGGCCAAAATACCCTCCTTAATGGGACACATCGCCCTTTTCAGACGGTTTCGTGCGCAAATAAATCTAAAATATCTGAAGATTTCAGAAAAAAATGTGCATGAATGTCGTCATAAATACATGTTTTATCAAGGGAGATTTGGCAACTCTCAGATATCCATACGGCGTTTTTCCTAAGCACGGCAGAGTTCTCCGCGCGCCTCTCCCGGTTGATATATCGATGCGCGCTCAATAAATACGCATTAAATATGCATATGCCGCCCTCGCTTAAAATTTTGGAGGATGGCCCGGGAGTGAGCACCCGCTGGGAGGAAAGTCCTGGAACCTTGGGTCCCGTAATTAAAGGGTCACGGGAAGGAGGCTCGGGGGGGGGGNGGGGGGGGGGGGTATGGAGGGCTCTTCAGGATACGGCATCGCCGGGTTTCAGTGCAGCTCTATTCCCTCTGTCGGCACAAAAATGAACGAAAGAAGCCTCCTGAGTCCCATGTGGCCTGGTTACACGCTCACATTTCCGTCAAATTCCGGTCAAAACAAGAGTCCCTTTATACTGAGAGTCAAGACAATTCGGCTCATGGATGTCACAAACGGGAATAAAGATTACAGAAATTGAACGTTTTTCGTAATCTTTGATCGGCCCATTCTCACATGCCTTTCTCCGTTCCTCCTCTCATTCCGTTTGTTCCTTGCCGAACCCGTAATTCCTTGGTCCATTCCAGATTGCAATCTTTGCAATTGGTGAAAATGTAATCTTTATTCCCGTTTGTGACACTGTGGAGGCCTAAAATACGGGAACCAATCAGAAATGGATTCAAATTGTCTTGACTCTCAGTATAAAGGGACTCTAGTCAAAACGATGACCAAGATGGCGGTCGATAGTTATTTAGATTGATGAGTAAAATTAATTAAAACAGCGTATTGATTGAAAGAAGCATGAAATAAGCACGGTTGTGTGGAAATCAGATGAAGGATGAGCCCCACAGCACCATCATCTACCATCAAATGTTTGCAGGCCGCAGAAATTTGATGGTAGATGGTGCGCACCAGTCACCATTTGATCGGAAATTGATGGAAATTTGAGCGTGTAACCAGCACAGAATGCAAGTGTATGGTGCTCAAGATCTATCCATATACATAGGTCAGTCATTCCCAGATCCAACGTGAGAATCTTCTGCGCATGACGTCGATATGACTGCCGCCAAAGCCAGAGAGCTGGGAATCAATGCTATTCTTATTGGAATAAGGCTAATGTTTATTAATGAATCATTTAAATTCCTTACTTTTAAACCGTTTGAAACTTTTTGAGAGTCGAAGAGAACGTTTAGACATTCGAACTTCGTCCAGGGTTTTGATTCAGCTGAATTTGCGTTTTTATATTTTTAAATGATTTTTGAAGTCAGCGATGTAACAAGCCATTCAAAGGTATAGATTCGCGTGTAAAAATGGCTGACGCAGAGTAACTGTAAAAAAAACGAAAGAACACTTATTCGGCAAAATCGAAACCCTGAATGCTAATGCCTAAACTTTCCTTCCGACATTCAGGAAGTTTCAAAGGATTTCGAGATATTGAAAATATTTTTAACACAGTTCAAATGGACGTATTTACGCTAAATGGAACTATGTGCCAGGGGAAAGATGGGATGTGCTCGTTAGTTGAGGGCCATAAGAAGGAATGGGGATTTTAAAGCGCCAGTGACGTCAGCGGCGACGAAGCCATCTCCATATTGTCAGTCTCGCTCGTCTTTAACTCATGAGCCCTGTCCACAACGCTCTTGTCGCATGCCCACGGCTCACGAGTTAGCGCTCAGTTCCTTTTGATCTGATCTAAAATCCCGCTTTTCCATTTTCTCAAAAGGAACTATATCCACTTTTACATAGTTTGTTACGCAGCTTCCACGAGCACACCCCATCTTCCCACTTGCACTGCACATAGTTCATTTTAGCATATACGTCCTAATGGAAATTAGATTATACAAAAGACGCCATATGTATATTTTCCATTGCCTCAATGTCTAAAGTAAACACGAATATCTTGTTTAGGAGTCCATTCCCTATATTCCCGTAGTAAAATTCGTTTGCCTCGTGAAATTTTGAGGAGAAAACATGTTACACATTGCTTTAATTGGACGTGTTTCTACCAAACGGAACTATGTGCATTAAGACATGAACCCTGAGACCCGTGAGAATATATGCATAACAGAGCTCACGTCATAACGCACATAGTTCCGTTTGACAGAAACACGTCTAATTCATACCCTGTCAAGGCATCCCTCCCAATTTCTCAACAACGACGCATGTGATACTTTAGCCAGAGGTGACGAAGTATTCATTCATACTTAAATGTCGTCCTTGAGGGTCCAAAGCAGGACTAATTTTCGTTCATACAATTGGACGTATTTCTGTCAAACGGATCTTTGTGCGTTATGACGTGAGCCCATGTTATGCATATATTCTTATGAGTCCCAGGGCTCATGGGTCAATGCACATATTTTCGTCTGAAATACGTCCAGTTATTGTCAGCAAAAGACGATAATAAAACATGAAAACTTTGGAATGGATGCTCTTCACAAGTCGTTGCAGTGGCGTGACGTACTTCGCGATACATCGATTGATCGTCATTTGAACCCACGGAAAAGGATCGATAGACAGGGTGTTCGCAACGAGCACCTTCATAATCGATTCTTTACCACAGCCTCAAATGGGCAGATATCGATAGTAATAATCGACCATTCACGCCACGCCACTGCGTTGAATCAATGAGAACCTCCATTTTGAGTAAACAGCGTGTCGGTCACACCCCTCAACAAGTAGCTATTACTCTGGTTTGAACACCTCCCGGTGTCGGGATTGCGCTAATGACTGTGAATTGCGATAAATCGATTGTTATGCCATTTAAACCTATGGAAAAGGATGGGTAAACAGGGTGTTCGCAGCGAGCACCCAAATAATCGATTCTTTACCATAGGTTTAAATAGCATAACAATCGATACATCGCGCGATTCACCCCACGCCCACGCCACTGACGATCAAACCGTGCTTTGGACCAATCACAGAACATGCCCTTGATTCGTTGATAGCACCATTTGATCGGGTGACAACGCGTTGCCGGATTAACGTAAAATTTTTAGTTTTTCCGAGATGCGTTAGTCGTGATCGTCCACGGTCGATGAAAGAGGTATCAGTGCACGAAAGTGGATTTTTTTTAGGGGGTACGATTTATCTTTCGTTCGGTTTTACATTTTGGGCTATATTTTGCAATTAAATCGGAACTTACGAAAACCGCCAATAACCATATTTCCAGTTTTCAGTTTTTTTGAGTGAATAATACTTTTCGAAGTTGGATGGACACTTTTTGTTTAAATATAACTTAATATTATTATATTATAACATAATATGACATGTGATTAAACCTAAATTATTATTATATTATATCCTAAAATGACATATGATTAAACTTGAATATATGGCATATAATTAGACTTACGTTTTTTACTACGCGGATCAAAAAATACAGACTTTCAACAAGACTAGGCAGCTCTTAACTCGTCGTCTATCTATGAGGGCCTATCTCAAATGCCACATGAGCCCTGTATTGAATATGAATAAATGCGTTCTGGGGCTCATGTAGAAATCGAGATACGCCCTTACGTCAGAGGGGCGACGAACTGCCAGCCGCCTCCCCCCTCATCCTCCCATATTCAGTTCCTTAGTCAACACCTCTCTCACAGTAATTAAAGTGAGGTGTCATCATGAAATCTTAAGGAAGGTCAATATCTACGTACTCGTTTTGGTCAAGATATGAGCGTATGCTGCCGTGCTGAGGGAAAACGCCGTATGCACCTTCAGGCGTTGCCAAATTTCCTCCGGTAAATCATCAATTTCCAGGAAAATTTTTGAATATTTTTCTGCCAATTTCTCAGATAATTTTGTTTGCAATTTGATTTAAAGTGTCTGAAAATTTCAAAGAAAACTATTCACAATTTTCCTCCAAAATGAACATTTTATCGGAGGAAATTTGGCAACTCTCGAATGCTCATACGGCGTTCTTCCTTAGCACGGCAGTATGGAGGTGTCAGCAATGCACCGAAATCAAACTTATTCATGTTCCCACCGTCAACGATGGAGCACGAACTCGACGAGCTGCCCGGCAAAATATACACCGAGAATCGGCCTCATGATTTTCCGAGGAATGTAGAGGTGAGAAACGTTTGCACATTATTACAGACATTGGCGGATCCAGCAAACTGCAGCCTGATTGTTGAAATTTTGTGTTTATCGACCGGTCAAGACTAAATTAAGGAGAATGTAGCCGTGTGATTGGTCGGTTCACTGGAAAAAAAAACACATTAGATCTAGAGTCCAGACTCTTGAAAACATTGACAAGAAAAAGGACTCTTGATTCGATCGGATTTTTGCTTGAATCAAAACGAAATCCGCTTAAGTTAAGAGGCTTGGTTCTTGATTTAAGCTAGATCCTGATTGAATCAAGAGTACTTTTTCTTGTCGATGTTTTTAAGAGTCTGGACTCTAGATCCAATATGTTTTTTTTTCATTGTTTTGTGAAGCATCCTCTTTGTCGTGCCTGTAAAGGATTTAATCATCGAGAAGCTAAAGGCAACTCTCGAGTTGCCGACACTTAGTCGTCAAATTCCGGAGGAATCCGTCCTTTATCGGCACGGCGAGAGGATGATTCTGCCGTGCTAAGGAAGAACGCCGTATGTACCCTCAGTCGTTGCCAACTTTCCTCTCATAAAATGCGAATTTCCTGGTATATTTACGAATATTTTCCTCCCAATTTTTCATATAATTCAGTTCACAATTTTACTTAAAGATTCTGAAAAGTTGAAGGAAAAATATTAATAAATTCCCCAAAAAATAAACATTTTATCGAAGGAAATTTGGCAACTCTCGAATGTTCACACGGCGTTCTTCCTTAGCACGTCAGAATTCACAAAACCGACCGATCACATGACTACATTTTTCTTAATCTTGTCTTAACCGGTCGACAAACAGAAAATTTCAACGATCAGGCTGCTGGAAACATCGTCTTTTCTCCGTTTAAACCTATGGAAATGTATCGATTCTTGGGAGGGCCTGCGGGTCGATTATTAAAATTGATGGACGCAAAGCTGTGGACAATGAAGACAAAAGAGATATGGAGTGAATTATTGGTGGAAGCGGGTGGTTGCAAAGGACAAAGGAGGTAGGTTTTAGACTAACTAACGGCAACCCGCGAGAGAACGATAATTAGTCCATCATTTTCTCCCTTAATCTATAGGACTCACCCATTTCAACCAATAGGATAGCTCCAAACTCCCTATGCCTTCTTTGTCCATAGCTTTGTCCATCAATCTCAATAATCAGCCCGCAGGTGCTCTGACAAGAATCGATTATTTAGCATAGGTTCAAAGAGAGGCAATCCGGTGTTGCCAAATTGCTGGATCCGGTGAATTTTCCCGATAGCCACAGCGCCGAGATCGAGATGAATGATGCCGTGGTAAGGAAAAACGCCGTATGAACATTCGAGAGTTGCCACATTTCCTTCAATAAAATGTTTATTTTTGAGGAAATTTGTAAATATTTTTCCCTGAAATTTTCAGGAACTTTGAGTGATATTGCGAACAAAATTATCTGAAAAATTGGAAGGAAAATGGTCATAAGTTTACCGGGAAAGTCGTGTTTTAGCAAAGGAAATTTGGCAACGCCTGAAGGTTCATACGGCGTTTTTCCTTAGCACGGCTGAATGCGTCATATTCGCTTACTGCAGAGAAGTTCTCGGTGACGTCAATTGTGCGATTTAAGGTGATTCGTCAAGCTGAGGTGATGTGGTCGAAGTAGCCCAGCATGCGATATATCGCATCGATAGGTCATAAATCTTGGCAGATTTTGAATCTTTAGCCAAAAAAAAGGTCGATAGCACTTGCGCATGAGGCTACCGAACCGGAGCGTCAATTCCATGGGTGCGGTGGCGTTTGCGGATTCTTATATTTTGATGGTGGCGATTGCGGAAAGGTGGAACACGGCCGGTGGAGTTTGCGGACCAGAGAATTTCGGCGGTGGCGATTGCGGACGGAGGGGTAGGCACTTAATTATGCTGCCCCCCACCCCTGCGCTGTATAGTAAAGAAAAAAATTACCGGAGAGGCTTCAAAATTATTTATAAAAATATAATTGAAAAGATGCGAATTAGCTGGGTTTTATGTAATATTTTGTCATTTGAAATGACAATAACAAACTCAACAACAACTTCGAAATCATAAGTTCAAAACCGCTGACGCCGCAAGTTTGAATAATCACATCAAACACAGTGCAGCCGGCGCGCACGGCGCACAGTAGCGCCTTACAAAACCGCAGGATACTTCATGCATTGCGCGTACGGCACGGCGCGCGTGACGCGTAAGATAGCGCCTTACAAGTCTGCAGGATACTTCATGCATTGCGCGTACAGCACGGTGTGCGCTGACGACATAGCATGGCGCCATACAAGTCCGCAGGATATTTCATACATTGCGCGTATACCACGGTGCGCGCTCAAGTCGTTGAAAAGTTGTATTTTCTTGGCTCTGGATTCCTTTCCGTGGATGAAAAAAAAATATTAGTATTAAACATTAGTATTATATTAGTACAAAAACATATGATCAGTGAATATACGGTAAATTTTTGAAAAAGGCATATCAGAAATCAAGAAACTAAAAAATCGTCAGTTTAAGTCCACTTTTAGGATTCAAAACATGTTGTAAATTCTAGTCCAAAATTACTGAAAGTAGAAAAATTACATATGAAAAATGGAAACACATAGGTACATACATAGGTACAAACTGCCGTGCTAAGGAAAAACGCCGTATGAACATTCGAGAGTTGCCAAATTTCCTTCGATACAATGTTTCTTTTTGAGAAAAGTTATGAATATTTTTCTACGAAATTTTCAGGTAATGTGTATTAAAGTGCGAACAAAATTCTAAGAAAAATTGGAAGAAAAATATTCATAAGTTCTTGATTTCTGATATGCGTGTTTTAAAAATTTACTGCATGTCCACATGTTTTTATACTAATACAATACTAATGTTTAATACTAATATTTTTTTTCATCCACGGAAAGGAACCCAGAGCCTCTCTGGTAACTTTTTTCTTTAATATACAGCGCAGGGGTGGGGGGCAGCATAATTAAGTGCCTACCCCTTCGTCCGCAATCGCCACCGCCGAAATTCTCTGGTCCGCAAACTCCACCGGCCTTGTTCCGCCTTTCCGCAATCGCCACCATCAAAATATGAGAATCCGCAAACGCCACCGGATTCTTAGAATCCGCAAACGCTACCGCACAAATTCCATGAGGCAAAATTCACCGAAACTCTCTACACCTCTATGGTGTAACCGAACTTAATTATCTTTCAAGAAATTCCCACCTTGTTATACCTGAACCGGATAAACCTCTATATTTCAGGTAGGGGCTCTTAGATTTTTCCTGTGCACGATAAGTATCTTGATTTATATTGCGAGGAAAGATCTGTACTTTTAAAGGATGCCTGTCATTCTTAATAAGTTCAATTTTGTATAATACTGCAAAACACCTCTGCTCTGTTGTGAAATAGTTGCTTCAGGCCCCGCCGCACGGCGAGCGGGCGGCCAGCGCAAAACGCGCATTGGCGCCTACAAACCTAAGTGGATACTTCAAGCATTGTGCAATGCGTGAAGTATCCACTTAGGTTTGTGGGCGCCAGTGAGCCTTTCGCGCTGGCAGCACGCCGCTCCGCTCTGTTAGGCTTTATTATTTATACTCGCATAGTCAGCGTTTTTTATCAAAGTAGAATAATAATATAATGAGTTTTTTTTAAATATGAGTGGTTCCGTGTCAAATTTAATGATTTCCAAACCACTTTAATTTTTTCTTGTACATTTTGTGCTATTGTTGTGGTGCAGCGAGGTGTACGCGCAACCAAACGCTTAAAATTTGACGTATTTGACTCTAAAATATCGATGTACAGATGGGTTAAAACTAAAGATTGCGTGCTTCGTGGTTTTTTTTCCTCTTTTATTCATTTTTGCAGTTTTTGTTGGCACAACTGCGGCTCATTGAGATTAATGTCGCTTGGAAAAGGTTTTACAAACATTTGCCACGTTTTAAAAATATAAATGTTTTCAAAATAAAGTAATAATTTCGTAAAAAAAAGTAGAAAAAAAGTACCTATACATATAAGGTGTATTGTACATCGAATATTTTAAGGATAGAAATAAAACCAAATATTCACCAATGACAATTTAAAAAGATGATTCAAAAGGAGAAAGTAATAACAATTCAGTTAGAAAATGAGCTACCATAACAACACCTAGGTACTTCTCTCTTAATTTCTCATTTCCATATTTTTCCATATTGTCAATATAATTTTACATACCGACTAAAATATAGCGCTTGGACGAAGTCACTGTTACTTATTTTACGTGTGGGCGTAAACTACTGGACAGTAAAGGTGCGCGGACAAAAAATCGTTGACAAAATGTCCTGAAACCATTCTTGGTAAAGGGTTACTTTAAGTATTTCTCGTGATCTCGTGATACAAATCGTGTTCTACGTATATTTTTGCATAGGTACTCTCAAATACAAATACATTAAAGTAACCAGTGGCGTTGCGTGAATTGCGATATATCGATTGTTCTGCCATTTAAAGTCATGGTAAAGAATTGATTATTAAGGTGTTCGCAGCGGACACCCTGTTTATCGATTCTATTCCATAGGTTTAAATGGCATAACAACCGATATATCGCAAAGCACGCCACGCCACTGAAAGTAACGCGTAACCCCTGAGACCTCGGGGTACCCCCCCCCCCCCAAGTATATTAAAATCTCAAAACTAGCGATGACTCAACAATTTATATAAGAATGACTGAAATGCACGCTCTAAATAAAGTATAGGTATGAAAAAAAAAATTAAACAAGTCTGATGAAAACGAATTTTTTTTAGTTTGATTATCAATTTCCATCTTATTTTTTCTTTAGCGTCAAATACAAACCAACGGAATCGACCTATTCCTCTCCTTATTGAAATATCAAGGATGGATGATGGACCATGAATGGAATGGTTGGAAGAAGCTGGGGACCTTCTGTTATGGGATCTGCAATTTCGCTCTATTGATAGCTGTAATGTCGGGTGGTATTTTGGGCTTATCCAAAGGCCGTGCCGCTCAGTCTCAGGAGACGTTTTTAATCACGCTTTGCACAGTTCTGAGCGATGTGAGGAGGCTACTCACCATGTTTGCTTTGATAATGGACGCAAACAAAATACGCCGAATGAACGAAACGTTGAAGGGTGAGATAGTTTTAAATTCAATTTTGATTACTGTTACCTTGAAGAAAAATCAGATCCAGTGATAGAGGAGGGGTTGCGATCGGGCCGAAATCGCCCCCCCCCCCCACGGAATCGGGAAATGTTTGGATATTCGATAGTTGACGATGCATATTTTACAGAATTAGTTGGGTTTTGCCGATATTCTCAATTTCGGCTCCGAAACAAGGGCCAGGGGTCCTAAACATACCTCCGGAGCAAAAAAAAAAGGAAAATTCGTGCTTCATTGCCGTTCCACCCAGGCCCGCCCTAAGGGTGGGAATGCTGGGTCCCTGGTACCGGGGCCCGTGACACACAACTTCGAATTCACATATAACCCTATTCTCGTAAAGAAAAGTGAAAAATTTATCCTGATAATGGAGATGTTGCATGGGTGAGGAATTTGCGATTTGACTGTTGATTCTTCTGTAGAAGTTCGCGAGAAAAACGATGGTGCCACTGGTTTTCTCTGAAATCGTCTCCCAAGCTCAAAAACAGCTCTCAAGTTGAGGCCAAAATGGAGGGGATATCCCACGCTATCCTGAGAGTCTACTTCTCCATCCAAACAAACTTTCCATGCAAAGATAGGGAGCAAATACATTAGCAGTTATGCCGTGTTTTCAGTTTTAGAGTCCCCAAATAAAGTGGCAGCCCTGTCAATGTATTTGCTCCCTATCTTTGTATGGAGAGTTTGCTTTGATGTAGAGGTGGACTCTCAGAATAGCGTGGGATATCCCCTGCATTTTGGCCTCAACTTGAGAGCTTTTTTTGAGCTTGCGAATTAATTTTAGAAAAAACCAGTGGCACCATCGTGTTTCTCGTGATCTTTTACGCATAAGAATCAACAGTCGAATCGCAAATTCCTCACACATGCAACATCTCCATTTCGCAGAAGGTCAATCAATTTTCAAAAACACGCTGGAGCATTGTAGAATGATTCTTACTACTTTGAAGATTTCCATCTATTTTCAAGATATTTAATGTATATATTATTTTTTGAATGTGAATAAACTTCTCTCCTTGAAATTAATCCGCATTTATTTCCTTTATTTACTGTATCTTTATTCTAACATTATTGATTTTATGATATTACCAATTATTTTTCTGGTCGTAAGGAGGCGGGAAGGGGTGTGGGGGGTGCATTGTGACATCAGTGGCGTGGCGTGCTTTGCGATATATCGATTGTTATGCCATTTAAACCTATGGTAAAGAATCGATTATTTGGGTGCTCGCTGCGAACACCCTGTTTATCGATCCTTTTCCATAGGTTTAAATGGCATAACAATCGATATATCGCAGTTCACGCCACGCCACTGTGTGACATGTCAAGAGTTTCGGATGTGTTGTGAGGGACACCCAGAGACGTAACATACGATGACATGGTCACTTTTCACCTTCCGGCCCAAGTTCAAAATCGAATTATTTCTAACTCTCAAGTGCGAAATAGCTAAGAATTCGTGATTTTAGCAGCTCTACCTCACATTTCGACCTGAGCCCCAATGTGGCTTACGCTTCCGCGCGGAAATCGTAGGGAACCACCATTGATTTTATGAACGGAAGGAAAATATAAATACAAACACGCCGGTTGATAAAACACAGTTTCTTCACGGGGGTTTTAGGGGGTTGGCGTCGGTCATGTTGAATATTGCGTAGCATCCTATTGTGCAAGAGTTGGATGGATCGACTCGTCCAACGAAATGTTCATCTGTGCCGGAGTATATTTTTTAAAGGGGGAAGCTGACAAAAACTCTTATTTCTTACGGAGATTGTGAAATTAGGAGTGTATTTCAGACTTTCTCGATGCGCTCATTGTGATTTTTGAGACATACTCTTTAAGAAATAACTGTTATTTTGTTCTAGCTGAAGTTTGCAACAGGCCCACTGAACATAATTGACCAAGTCAACTGAGAGCAATCCAGCAGTAGGATGACTTTGTTAAAAAAAATTAGTCTCTATAAACATTCGTATGGATGCTTCAATTGCTTCAAGACCATTCATAGCAAATCGACGGTGTAAGTCCGCATTTACATATCTCGTTTGCGGTGTCCGAACATATCTGCCTCTATGTTATTTTTTAAAGGAGAACAAATTGACATCATTCCTTGAAGTTTATGCAGAATTTTCTTCGCACGGAGAAGAAAAATCATGGCAGTTTTAAAGAATTGCCTTTGAGTAGTAGTATATATATAAAGTCGCTTTACAACGCACTCTGGCGTTCTACGACACCCAAACGCCACATATGCCTGTCTTCCCAGAGGTTATCGGGCAACTGACACCGCAACATCTCTTCGTCAACGACCTGCCGCCAACCCTTTACGGGACGTCCTCGTCGCCTCTTCCCAGGTGGTACCCAATCCAAAACTTGTTTGGGCAACCTCTCCTCCGACTTTCTTTGAGTAGTAGTTCCGTTTGAATAATAAAGTATACCAGGAAGTCTACGACGTCGCAAACCGAGTTATGTGATTGCCGACTTACACCGTCGAAATGTTATCACTTATTGGTGGAGCCCTCTCATTTTATTCGTAGATCTATGATGAAATTTTGTATTTTTAGAAACAATCGAGTTTGGCTTCTATTATTCGCCTGGAATTTCCGCACCGATTCACGAGAGAAGTAGGCGACAATCGTATTGCCTGTTGATAATCTATCATTTGTATTTTGGAGCGATAAGTACGTGTTGGATCCTGATGCCTGTCTTGGATGTCTACAGAGCTCATCCTAACGTGGACTATGAGAAGATTGACCTACCATTCCCGCATTCATATTTTTGGATGGATAAAAAAACTCACTTCTGGTAAGAATAGGAACCTGCTAGGAAAATAAGTTAAAATTACGAGCGGTCGAGGTCATTCTGTAGTAGTATATGAAATTGGACGTATTTCTATCAAACGGAACTAAGCGCCATCGGGGGAGGAAGGTAGAGGGGGGCTTGGATTGGCGGCGGAAACGGGCGCCCTGTTCGTTCCGTCCTATACTCGCCATGCTTTTCCATGGCGCTTAGTTCCGTTTGACAGAACGCGCTATCCGGGATTCTAAATTCCTCAAAAGGAACTCAAATTGGCGCTTAGTTCCTTTTGACAGATATATGTCCAATTGTGTGTCTGCACTCTCCAAAGCAGCGCTATCGGCTATGAGCGGAGCGGAGACAGAGAGAGACTCTTTATTGGCATCTTGGCAAAGGTAGAAGAAGTTCATTCGTCAACCATTCAGTTTCATTAGCTGTATCTCTATTAGATCTCTATTATAAAGCTGATCGCGCACCAGAAATTTGAGTCCAGAATTTCCCTCCCGCGCGCCGTCCCACCGCGCGGGCCCACAACCGCTCACAGCGGCAGCCGACCCCCTGCCCCGCGCCCAGGGCCGGATTTACATGTTTAGCGCCCTAGGCTAAACTTAGGGTAGCGCCCGTAAAATTAGGCGCTCTCGTTGAAGGGGGGGGGGTCCCCAGACGCCCCTCCCCTCCAGATCAGAAGGAGGATGTTGTCAGGAAAATGTTCAAATTCACCTTTAAAAAAACACGATTTTAAACAGTTTTGAGGTACGTTTACGTTTGCAAGTTGGTTTTGGAAAATAAGAAGTAACAAAAGACTCGTTAAATTTAAAAAAAAAAAAAATTATCTTTTCTCACTATTTTATCAGTCCATTCTATTCGCTGCGCCTTTGCCCGAGTAGTAGCTAGTAGCCCGTGCCCGTGTGCTTATGACACGCGAAGGAAATAAGTTTGTCAACCACAACGTAGACATTTTTTTAATAAGTCACGTTGTTTAATATATTCTCAAAAATTTTGCGCCCCTCAGAATGTTGCGCCCTAGACTGTAGCCTATGTAGCCTATTGGTAAATCCGGCCCTGGCCGTAACACCCGCTTCGCCGCCGCGCCGGCTGCTCTCTTGTCATAGCCAAGAGAGCCGTTAGTGCAACATTTTCAAAATCGAGTTTTCTTCAAAATTCGTCTAAACTCTTTTAGATGAAATTACTGAGACTGCTAAAAGAGCAAAATTCATCCTAATTTAATGAAAACAAGACGTATGAAAAAGCCGTAAGTGCACAAAAAATGACATAGTTTTCTTCAAGACAGCCGTAGGTGCATGAGAACCAATGAAAACAGTGCTTTCAAGAGGAATGCCGCCCTCATCTGCGGATTTCTAACCTGAAAATGGGTTTGTTGTGTGTCCAACACGCTACCACAAAAGCACGCAGAAGATAGCACTTACGGCTGTCTTGCCTAACAATAACCTAGCATGAAAATGAAAAATACCCTTTTTACGTAATTGAAATAAAATCGGTCGATTTTTAATCATCCAAACGATTTCTAGGAATCTTTCGGACGATTAGTGGCAATTTGACGAAGGGTGGAGGCTCCTTTCAATAAAATTTTCCGGTCAGAAGCTTCAGAGCCCGTTTTCTCAAAACTTTATTTTTGCATTTACGGCTCTCTTCGCTATCACGGCAGTGCTAGGTAGTGTCCCCGCCCTGCCACCCTCTGACCTCGGCCATCCGTATCTTGCCATGCTCAACAGTTATATTACGGTCAATATAGACAGACCGTCTGTTCCGGGCTCAGAGGCCGAGAGTTCCGGATGCAGCACCCGTTCCTTCGGCCACCAGACCCGTAGCAGTCGAAGCTAGGGCTCCAGCACCCGGAGCTACCGGCCTCTGAGCCCGGAACCGACGGTATGTGTAGAGTACCTACGTCCTACGTATGGAGAGTACGGACACGGACATGTCGGTAATTTTGAGGTTAGATCATAAAGCTCCTATCGCCCAAAAAAGAAACTAACCTATGAATTCAAATTTTATATATATATATAGAGTCGCTTTATAACGCACTCTGGCGTTCTACGACACCCAAACGCCACATATGCCTGTCTTCCCAGAGGTTATCGGGCAACTGACACCGCAACATCTCTTCGTCAACGCCCTGCCGCCAACCCTTTACGGGACGTCCCCGTCGCCTCTTCCCAGGTGGTACCCAATCCAAAACTTGTTTGGGCAACCTCGTCTCCGACATTCTTGAATTCAAATTATCCCGGGTGATTTATTATTACACTTGTTTTACGACCCGTCGTTTGCAGTGGCGTGGCGTGAATGGACCACTAGACTAGGTACGAATTTCAGCATTCTGATACATGTTTCTCAACCAAAATTTCACGTAAAATGCGATGCGCATAGCAAAAGTTACCGAAATCAACTCCTTACGAAGACATTTAATGATTCATGATGCGTGAATTCAAACCGCCCGCTCACGAAAACTCAATGCTCTACGTGTTTCACATCGCGCGCTAAACTTCCATCATGATAGTCTCTGCAATATAAAAATCTGGAAACCTCAATCTTGACGGTTTCGCTCAGCTATAGCAAATTTCTTGTGGTTTTAACAACATATAATGGGAAATGAACATTGCTCGATGGAGAAGCTTGCTGAAACCGTTGTAGTGCGCGATTTGACTCGAGTAGAGCTTTGAGTTTCTTGTGAGCGGGCAGTTCAAATTCCTCGTAACCAATGTGAAATAAAAATGTTAATAGCTTCGTTAGAAGTTAGTTTCAGTAATATTCGTTGCGCTAATCGTGTTTTACGTGAAATTCTGGTTAAGAAACATGTATCAGATTGCTTAAATTCGTGCCTTGTCTAGTGGTCCATTGCGATATATCGATTGTTATGCCATTTAAACCTATGGAAATGAATCGATTATTAAGGTGTTGTTAAGGTGTGAACACCCTGTTTATCGATCCTTTTCCATAGGTTTAAATGGCATAACAATCGATATATCGCAATTCACGCCACGCCACTGGTCGTTTGTGAGCACTTATTTGACTTAGTTTTTGTATTTTACTCATTTTTTGGGAAGAACGCTCATTTTTATGAACATTCTTGGCCATCAATTGGTTTGATATTAGAATCTAAAGATTTGCATTGACATTTTTGGAGGTTGGCTACCCTTTAAGGTCCTACAAACTCCATATTTCGACATGCCCGCACTCTTCCTAAATAGGTACTCGAGGTTTGTCTGTACAGCCCGTAACATTTTTTCAGTGCGAGCAACTTCGGTGCGCTCGGGGGAAGGAGATAGGGTCAAAAGATTGGGATTCGTTACGCAACACTTGACCGGCCACTTTGTTTTTATAAAGGTGGATTTGGTTCATCCAAGGACTTACCATCGCACCTAGCATACTGCTTTACTCTCTCAGTTACGGACTTCTTGCCAGTGTGTGCGCTCTTCTGAAAGGACAACTATCAATTTTGGTGGAGTCGATGCGATTGGCGACCGGGTCGTCCCGACACGTTCTTCGTCACGATTACCAACCGATGGTCAGCCTTTTTGGCCCATTGCTAATGTCGACGAGAGCATCGAAGACAGCAACAGCTCAAAACGAGCCCGATCAACGAACAGCGAACAGCATCGATTTTAGGAAATGCATTAGGCACCATCAGATGATCCTTCGGTAAGTCAGAGTCATCTACGCATAGCAATGTTCATGTACCTATTGTAAGAAAAAATGGTTTGCAAAGAATAATTAGGCTCAACTTATCAGTACAATTAACTGTAAGTGCGTAGAACAGCGGGCTCGTTATTGATTTTCATAGACGAAGAAGACAAGGGACAAATGGAGAGATCCTATTGGTGAAAGCGGGTGGTTGCGATGAACAATGGACATGAGTGTTTCCCCAGGGGTTCCCAGCCAAGGGTATCCTCGTGTTCAGTCCACTCAGTAGTTTCCACTTAAACACGTGAAATTTCAGACACCTGCAAATTCTCTCGGATTGAAAGAACCAAGTGGGAAAACTCAGTTATCCTTCAATTCAGTGGTTATGCAACCAGGCCTACTCAGGAGTTGAAATAGTTGTATCACGTCGTGAAGTATCTCAGCGTCCCATTTAGCGTTAAGAATATCGATAGCAGTGGCGAGGCGTGAATGATCGATTATCGACATTTCCCTATTGTAACTGCGATAAAGAATCGATTATTAAGGTGTTCGTTACGAACGCACAATTTATCGATCCTTTCCCATAGGTTTAAATGGCAGATCAATCGATATATCGCAAAGCACGCCAAGCCACTAATAATAGAGATGACATTATAAAAGAAAAAAAGACAGAAAAAACACAGGACGACGAATGGACATTGGTTACATGGTTTTAGCGCGAGTTGATATAATTCAGCAATAGCCTTGCAACTTGTTCTTTTTTTAAGGTGAATCCAGGCTTGGAACTTCGCGATTTGGCCACCACGTCGCGCTGCTCAGAATAGCCGTACATATTTGCCAAAATTATAAAAACCGTGATACTTATTCAAGTTTGGGGATCCAGGGGATATAGCAACATACTTGAGGATCACTCAGTAAAAAATCTCCTCAAAATTCCCAAAAATAAAGTCGTAACTACAGCGAAAAGTAATTCCCATTGCGGCAATGGGAGAGAGAGAGAGATAGAACATGAGGGATTCGGTTGCGCGCTCGGCCGTTGCCGCTGAGCTGTAAGTTTCAGCCGTAAGCCGTGCGTTTGTAATTCTAATTGCCAATATTTTTGGCTCAAAAAATCGAGCAAAATATAATCTATATCTTGTGGATCTGCTTTTTGTAATATGAACAATATTATTTCAGTAATCGTCGAAGGAAAGTGAAATTCTCAGAGGTGACTGGTGGCGCTATCTCTAATCTTGAATTATCCCTAATCGAACCTTGGATTCACCTTAAGAAATCCATACATCCCGAATCACATTTTTTTAGAGGAATATACAGCCCATATTTGGCATACTCTTTTAATTATTCAAATTTGTCAGCTTGGTTGTTCAAAACTCCAATTATGGAATCTTACGTCAGGACTGCATACGTTTTGATTAAAACATGACCATTTAATCCACTCCTTACTGTTACAGTGCTCTGAAGGAACTTAAGGTACTAATGGGGCCTCAAATTTTTATAAATATTCATTTTTCCTGCGCCTTTTTCATCCTTGTCGGCGCAGCTGAAACCTGGGTAAAAATCTTTTCTACTCTAATCAGTTACAACTGGACGTATATTTGCACATAAATTTCGTCTACATTGAGACCTTTCGAAAAAAAATTCATCTGCTCACTTCCATTGATCACATTATACGGAGTACGGAGTATTTTTTGCCCATAGTGAGAGTTGCATTTCGCGGAGAATGGAGATGTTGCATGTGTGAGGAATTTGCGATTTCACCATTGATTCATACGTAAAAGTTCGCGAGAAACACGATGGTGCCACTGGTTTTCTCTGAAATTATCTCCCAAGCTCAAAAAAAGCTCTCAAGTTGAGGCCAAAATGGAAGGGATACCCCACGCTATCCTGAGAGTCCACCTCTACATTAAGACAAACTCTCCATGCAAAGGTAGGGAACAAATACATTAGCAGTGATGCCGTGTTTTCAGTTTTGGAGTCCCCAAATAAAGTGGCAACCCTGCTAATGTATTTGCTCCCTATCTTTGCATGGAGAGTTTGTTTTAATGTAGAGGTGGACTCTGAGGGTAGGGTGGGATATCCCTCCATTTTGGCCTTACTTTGTGAGAGCTTTTTTTGAGCTCGGGAGATGATTTCAGAGAAAACCAGTAGCACTATCGTGTTTCTCGCGAACTTTTACAAAAGAATCAATGGTCAAATCGCAAATTCCTCACATATGCAACATCTCCATTATTAGTTAAGCCACTGAATGGAGCACGAAATAAACAGAATGTTCATTTGTTTTTCATGCCGAAATAGGTGCTAAACAGACTCATTGGCATACAGTAAATAATTCCACCGCTAACTTGTTGTTACATGAACATCTGTTGTCAACTTTACGATGAAAAACTTCCAATTCACACCTTCAGTGCGGCAAAAAAATGGAATCCTCTGTATTCTTTTTTAATATTTTCCTAACGAGATGTTCCAGTCTTCAATTGAGGGGCCTTGGAGGACAAGGAGCATATAAGTGCAGTTTTTACAAAATGCGAATTTTTATCGAAAAATGGACAATAGCCCCTGCGCATAAGCCTAAAGAATCATTCTAAACCCAAAAATCGGCAAAATCCAAAGAAATGAAAGCAGAACAGTGTTAGGAAAAAATCTTCGCATTCGATACAGAAATCGATAGCTGAATCGAATGCGATATTTTTTCCCTGACACTAATCTACTTTCATTTCTTTGAATTTTGCCAATTTATGGGTTTAGAATGCTTTTTTATGCTCATGCGAAGGGGCTTTCGTCCTTTGTTTTGCTAAAAATTCAAAATCTGCCGAGGTTTTTGACCTAAGAGATGCGATATATCGCATGCCACTTCGACCACGTCTTTTGAGCTTGACGAAAAACCTTAAGGAAAATTCTCCTGTTGAATTGGGCCGCGTCAAGATTTCTCGCTGAATCAATCGGCATTCGCTGTGAGGCGACAAGACGACTCTTCGAAGCATGAATACTATTTTAAACACGATTTCCTGTTATTTCAACGAGATATTCCTATAACGGCATACTCGACAGGATTTTCTGTTAGTACAACGAACAACTTTTCTGGATTCTTCAGACAGATGCAGTCTACGGTCGTTTGGTATATGGGAGTATAACTCTCCACTGGATAACGCAAATATGTTATTGGACGTGGCACCTGTCAAGTCTAAAAGCAGCGGTTAGTATGAAGAGTTTATCATGTTCAAATGAAGAAAGATTTGTGAAAATTTGGCATCATTCAGTTTCATCTATTTAAATGTATGCAAACTAATCGATATGCGTTGAGGAGGGCTGCCTAAAGTTGAATCGACTGTTAATAATATATTTAAATGGCGGAAATGTAGTGTCGCCCATTTGTGAGCATCGATTTCAGTTGAAAACTACCCGAAGCCTTGATTATAAATACGCAGATCTATATTTCCTTGATCAAAGGTATGGCTCGATTTTTTTTGGTCTTGGGAATTGCTAATTATAGATCCTCGAGGTTGGAGCAAACTATCTGCAACATTGCAACAGCGCTTGGAAAGCCACTTGCAATCTAATTGCTTTGTCGCGAACATCGCCAATGAAAACTCCTTCAATTCATCGGTTATGCAATTTGATCTCCGATGAGTCAAAATAGTTACTCAGTGTTGGAGTCAACTTTCGACAACTGTGGAAATGTGGGCTGCGCGGCGTTTGCAGTAAGATAGTTAAGTTGATCATTGCTGATAAAAACTCCTTCAATTCATCGGCTATGCAATTTGATCTCCGAAGAGTTAAAATAGTTGCTCGGTGTCGAGGATATCTTCCAATGATGGTGCAAGTAAATATAATTTGATCTCAAAGCACTCCATCAAAGAGCCAGTGGCTCTTATCGTCTGCTTTGCATATATCTGTTATCAATCAATTCTTATTCTTTTAAATCATGTCTCCGTGGTTGAAGCGGTAATCTCATGTATTTTTGACACTAAAGTCTAAAGGTGTTACTGGATTCAATGAGTCACTTGCGCTGGTCACAGAATCGTGTTTTGAGGCTTGATCCTTGTGAGCCAGCGAAAAATAAGAAGATCTGCTCAAACAGCAACTCTCTACGTTTAATAATGACCGCGCTACTGCACTTTGAAAAATTTGTTTCATGACGACATCCACCGCGGTGGGACACCCTTGGTTTCTTCCACATTGCTTTCATCCGAATTCCAAGTTGAGTAACCAGTGAAAATATGTGTCCTCCTGACAAATGAAAGCAAGGTGGAAAAAATCAAGGGTGTCACTATCGCGGTGGATGACGTCATTAAACGAACTTTTCAAATCGCAATATCTTGGTTAATATTGAAGAAGACTTTTATTTTTACTTGGTCCACAAGGATCAAACATCAAAATACGATTATATGACCAGTGCAACTGACCCATAGAAGATCTTATTCAATATTGCTGCCAAATTCTGTATTATTGTAACGATGATTAATTTTATTCTTCTTGATTTGTTTGATGAACTTAGTGTCGGGAGGTGGGCTGCGCCGCATTTTCAATCGGGACTCACGCATCTATATCGAGCAAAGACCTCGCTTTCATAATCAAACGTTCACAATATGATGAAAAATTCCCCAGCTTTTTGACAGCCTCTTTTGACTTTCCTGTTCTTTTTCGGGTTGGTCTGATTTTTATGTCTTCTTCTTTTCGGTTTTTTTTAAAGTGTCTTGCCTTCAAATCAAACAATGCGTGGAACCGCAAAAGGATGGATGAAAACACGAGAATCATCTCATCAACTCTAATTCAGATAGACAGACAACAATGACTAAAGTTGAGGTGCTGGGTGCAGAAAGGGCATTTCTTGGTTGCGGTTTCCGAGAATCTTCACCAACGATTCATCCATTATAATTGAAACAAATGTGTGAAATTCACTGAATCTTCTTTACGATTTTACAATGCTGAAACAAATTCACCCAATAGTTTCCTCTGTGAAATGTAAATTAGAGGTGGAGATTTCCAAACGCCGCAACCAAGGAATGTCCTTTTCGCGCCCAACGCCACTTTTATATATATACGTCAGATGTCAAACAAACTTGTATGCTCAGAAAAATTCCGGATCTAAAAAATCTAACCCTCCTAGCTCCTTTGATTCATTTTACTTGCTTTAGACTGTTGCCAAACAATTAGCACATACTGAGAAAATCATTTCAGAGGCAAAAAAAAATCAAGAAACGACACAACTTTGGCACAAATATCATGTCTGTCGTGATTTTCTCATATTAGTTTTTTTCCTTAGTCATCCGTCATTTTTACTCATCAAAAATTATAAGATACTGGATGCATCTTTATCCGTACACGTGTATACACGCATGCACCCAGCCACACACGCATGTCGACGGTGAAACTACCAAACCACGTATCTCGGTTTGCGACGTCGCAGACTTCCTGTCATGCTTTATTTTTTAAATGAAAAACTACTGAACGTCCAGTCTTGAAAATTTCTGCGATTTTTCCTCCTCGTGCGGAGAAAATTCTGTGAAAATTTCAAGGAATGATATTGATTTGGTCTGCCTCAAAAAAATAAAATGTGAGCGTAGATTTTTAAACACCGCAAACGAGATACGTGGTTTGGTAGTTTCACCGTCGATGTGTGTACACGCCTGTATTCTGTGTTCTACCTGTCTCGAATTAATTTGTCTTATGTTCTACAGATTTTTATCATCGCATGGGATATACTTTCAGTAGCCAGGAGAAAGTTATAGGAGTGAGAATCGACCCTTTCATTCCGAGCGTGATTTTTCCTTGGCACTCCGGCTGATCCACGTCAAAAACCCATCTCTGTTGCCTTAAGAATGGGACTGCTTTTTCAGTGCATGAATGAAGGAGTCACCAAGAAGAGAACTTATATCACCATAGCAAATACAAAATAAAAAAAAATTCGTTAAGAATAAATTTCCGTAATATTCCGTTGCGCAAACCGCGATTTTGTAGCATCGCGTCCATGATATTGGACTCCATGCTCATCCTTGATATACTTACCTGCTCATCTCGTCCAAGATCTTGGACTCCATGCTCATCGCTAAACGTCTCACTTCTTTGCTTGAGCATGGAGTCCAAAAGCAAGTAGACCTCCCTTAGTTTTAAAGTTCATCATGATAGAAAATCGTATACTTCGCTTATCTAATCTAACCTGAACTAACCTAACCTAACCTAACCTAACCTAACCTAACCTAACCTAACCTAACCTTACCTAACTCAACCTAAGCAATGCACAATTTTTTTCGAGAACACATTTTTTTGTCTTTATTTCACAAAAATTTCTTAATAAATTTTTTGGACCCCATGCTCCTATATTGTCGGAGAATACCATGCGTCCCACAATTTTGGACGCTATGCTCACTTCGATTTTTCGAAAAAATTATCCCATTATTAAAGTGAGCATGGAGTCCAAGATCTTGGACGTGATGAGCAACCGAATATCATATAGCTGAGCATGGAGTCCAATATCATGGACGCGATGCTACATTACCCAAACCGCGTTTCACGTAAAGTTTTGAAGCAGAAATGTGTACCTAAATTATTGATGATCCATGGTAAAAAAGGCGGCCTTTCAACCATCGAATAACAACGTGTTACTAAATCGGCTTATCATCTCCAGAAACCAAACTTTCACACCAAAAGGAAGCTGTTAATGGGCTCCGTCTGTGCTGCCGTGCTATAGGGAAAAACGCCGCACGATGGGTCGAGTAAATTGGGGAGGCCGGACAAAATTCGGAAACTTTAAAAGCTCATAACTCCGCTCATACAAATTTTTGAGGTTCTAAATATGGCTCCATTGGTTTCCTATAGTTAAATTTTCTTCAAGTTTCACCCCTTAAAATTTAAAATGTGATGAATTAAACATCAAAATCTGCAGTTTTATTTAAAAATGTCATGTCCACTGTCCAGCCTATCAAGTTGACTCGATCTACTGTGCGCCGTGAGAGCCCTCAGACGTTGCAAATTCACTTTGATAAACTACGGATTTTCCGGGAAACTTGCGAATATTTTCCCTCCAATGGACCACTAGTCAAGGTACGAACTTAAGCATTCTGATGCACGTTTCTCAACCAAAATTTCACTTAGAACACGATTCTTGCATTGAAAATTACTGAAATCAACTCCTAACTGAGATATTAACTTTTTATTTTACATTGCCACGGGCAAATGTATATGTATGTATGCATACTCTAGCCCCCGGAAAATATGAGATATCTCACAGGCTCGTGGAATTTCATGAAGTATTTCACGGAAATTTCCAATCTTTCTTATTTTTAATTTATCGCGAGCAATCCTGCCGTACGGCCGGCCGCCGGCGTCACAGTCGGGGAGAAATAGATGCATACAAGGTTGAGTGCGCCGCGAAATGAAGGCGCAAGGTCGAACTCGAGTGTCTGGAAACGCAAGCTGATTAATAATGTTATTCGAGAACTATGACTCGAGACTTTACTCCGGGAGTTAAACGCGGAGAAGAAAAAAGGAAAGCGGAGGAGGAGCCGCGTAAAAGCGCGGGGAAATTTATGTTGCCACCGATTAACCTTCGCCCTTAAAAGGTTTTGTCTCGCTTCTTGCAGCGTCCCGAGGCCGAGCCAGGGGAATCCAACTCCAGCTCGGATGACAACTTTATCGCCCCCTCCACTCGAGAAAAACTTTATTCCTACCAGAATTTTTCTAGGATGGAGTCGAGCGGCTCTCCTGTCTTAGTGATCAAAAACAAATGCAGGATTAGATTAAATAAGTCCAAGATCCATCCATATAGGTCAGTCATTCCCGAAACCCAAATGAGAATCTTCTGCGCATGACGTCAGCATTACTGCCGCGAAAACCAGAAATGTCGGAAACAATGCTTTTCTTATGGGAGAGAACAAATTTTTCTTAATGAATCATTTAAATTTCTTACTTTTAAATTCTTTGAAGCTTTCTGAGTGTCGAAAGGAACGTTTAGAAATTAGCGTCAAGGGTTTCAATTTAGCTGAATTTGCGTTTTTATATTTTTAAATGATTTTTGAAGTCAGCGATGTAACAAGCCATCTAGTGGTATAGATTCGCGTGTAAAAATGGCTGATGCAGAGTAAACTGTAAAAATGAAAGAACACAAATTCGGCAAAATCGAAACCCTGAATGCTAATGTCTAAACGTTCTTTTCGACACACAGAAAGTTTCAAAGGATTTAAAAGTAAGAAATTTAAATGATTCATTAAGAAAAATTTGCTCTCTCCCATAAGAAAAGCATTGTTTCCGACTTTTCTGGTTTTCGCGGCAGTAATGCTGACGTCACGAGCCAATGGAAAGGGGCTTACCCCGAGCGGGGAAATCTGCGCAATGACTGACCTATATGGATGGATCTTGAATAAGTCATGCTAACTTCTACTCTGCCGTGGTGAGGAAAAACGCCGTATGAGCCTGCAGGCGTTGCCATATTTTCTTTCATAAAACACGAATTTACTCAGAATTTACTCGAAAAAACTTTATTTGCACCATAATTTTCCTAGGATGAAGTCGAGCGGCTCTGCGGGCCGATTATTGAAATTGATAGACAAAGCTATAGACAAAGAAGACAAAGGACATATGGAGGGATCCTATTGGTGGAAGCATGTAGTTGCAATGGACAAAGGAGGTACGTAATAGACTAAGTAACGGCAACCCACGAGGGACCCGATAGTTAGTCCATCATTTTCTCCCTTAGCTTAAAAGAACCACCCATTCCAACCAATCTGTTAGCTCCATACTCCCTATGTTTTCTTTGTCTATCGCCTTGTCTATTTTCAATAGTCGGCCCGCAGGCACGACAAAGAGGATGATTCACAAAACCGACCGATCACACGGCTACATTCTCCTTAGGTTTGTCTTAAACACAAAACAACAATTAGGCTGCAGAACGCCAAAATCCGTACTTGGTCTTGTGGTCCATTACTTCCTCGTATTTTTCACGCACCTTGAATACTCGCAATTCCTGTTCCCCTTCCTTCGATAAATTATCGATACTTTGGTAAGCTCAATCGCACGGGTTCACCGCAGCGCAAAATCACCCCCCCCCCCCCGCCACTCTCCTGCGGTGAACTTCGTTATTTCTTGGCGTTAATTAAAAAAATGAAAACAGGAAAAATGAAAGTTCACCATCTCGGGCTTCCGGTGCAGCGCTTAAGGTGAGCCCGAAGGACGCGTGGGGTGGAAAGGGTGAAAAAGGAGCGGGAAGGGGGGAAGGAATTCATCCGCACATCGCATCTGTTAGCATCTCTGAGGATCCCAATTTTGTTCGCGGTTGTAAATTACCATTTTCATTGGAATAATAATCTTTCGGAGTCGAGGGCGCCCTGACGGTTGCATTCCCGAGTTTTCGCTGGCCGATGCAATACTGCCGTGCCAAGGGAAAACGCCGTATGAACCTTCGGGCGTTGCCAGATTTCTTTTGGTAAATCATGAATTTTCGAGAATATTTGTAAACATTTTTCTTCCAATTTTTTAGAAAATTTTGTTCGCGATTTTATCTACAGATCTCGAAAATTTCTCGGGAAAATATTCGCAACTTTTCTCGAAAATAAACATCTTATCGAAGGAAATTTGGCAACTCTCGAATGTTCATACGGCGTTTGGCCTTAGCACGGCAGAATAGGCACTTGAGTCCCTTCATACCCAGAGTTACCACATCTCAATTCTAGTCGAGCTGGAAGTGGCCTAAAAAAGAATCCAATTCAGATTGATGGAGACACAAAAGAGTGCACCAAGATGGCGGTGGCTCAAATGTAAACAAAATTCATTATGTTACATTATGTTCATTATGTCAAAAAAAACATTATGTTCTGAAATCTTGCATAGGAAACTTAAAAGGCATGTTGGTGTACATTTATTTGTTTTGCCCGAGGTAGACTTTGGTAAAAGTAGCGGACTTATCTTTATTGAACCGCTCGGCACTCAAAGAATAGTAATCCCTCTAGAACATGCAATTTCTGAAAAATTGGCGGTTAAGCCCATCTTCAAATAACCCGTTTAATTATTGTGGTCTGAACGACACACAGTGGATTGAATCAACTAGAGAGATCACCCATAAAGTTTTTGATTAAACTGCAAATTTTTAATGTTTATTTCGACACATTCCAAACAAATATCGACGGTGTAAGTCGGCAATCACATAACTCGGTTTGCGACGTCGCAGACTTCCTGCCATACTTTATTTTTCACACCGATAACGGCAACGGAAATTCTTCAAAACTGCCTTGATTTTCCTTCTCCACGCGAAGAAAATTCTGCAAAAACTTCAAGGAATGATATCAATTTGTTCTCCCTTAAAAAAATAACATTGCGGCGGAGATTTTCGGACACCGCAAACGAGTTGTGTGATTGCCGACTTACACCGTCGATATATTGCATTTTGCAAAAAGGAACCTAAAGCATTCCAATGTTGCTAAGATTATGCAACATACATTCTTTGCAACAGAGTTACTGAAATGATGAAAAAAAAGCAGATTTCCAAGCGTAATATCCTAATAATAATAATATAAATCCTAAATAAAATCCTAGCGACATTGGAATGCTCCTGCGGGTCGATTGTTGAATCGTTATCGAATGACCTTGATCGATATATAGCATTGTGAAGATAGGGAGTTATCGATCAAAATCATTCGATAACGATTCAACAATCGACCTGCTGGTTCCTTTTTGCAAAATGCAATCCAAATGTTGAGGGGTGTTTCTGGAAGAACATCTCACGAGGAAACCAATCACATCACTTTTAGAACCTCAAAATTTCGTATATACGGAGTTATAAGTTTTTAAAGTTTCCAAATTTAGTCCGACCTCTCCTACAGACTCGATCCACTGTGCGACGGAGGAAAATTTCTCTCTCTAGATCCAAACCCGT